TAAATATTCCCTCTTTCAACTCTTCCGCCAGTGTTACTAAAACAATATCCTTCCACGTCTAATGCTTTAACAAATTGTTTTGTCATTCTTATCTTGATCACATATTAAATCACTGAGTTTATTTTTAGTAAAAAACTGTGCTGTTGATGTTTCACCCTCTTATTTACATTCACTCGTAGACTATACCGATATCTGGGTATATGGCGGCATCATTGTTTCAGAGAAGTCAATGTGTACTTTTGAAACAGGACTGAATTTTCTTGGAGTAAAACAGGACATTTTGTAGACAGTAATTCTAAATACCTTAGCGTTTCATTTTTAATAATATCTTAACTCATTTTTCATAATTTTACTCATATTTTAGGTAAGGAGCCTAAAGATAGCGATCAGAACCATATACCTGACTGGAAAGCTAAATATTTATTACTTACAAGTGGATAGTTAATAAAATATTCGATACACAATTATCATAAAACCAAAAGCTTGTTCAATACTTTCATGAATAAGGTCATAATGTAGGCACTGTAAAGCTTTGTTATCATTTTTTACTCGAGACTATTTCGGGAATTTTCGTAGATCATCGATAGCGATTCAGGTGTTCTTGAGTTTTAAGCTTTTTAAAAAATGTCACCTTGTTTATTTAAATATATGTATTTAGGTAAATATACTGAATTTTCTTGTAAATTGTCTTTCTTAGACGGAAATGCCATCAACGACGGTAAATTGTTTCGAAGACATGATTTGTGTAAAAGCATTACTTGGTTTGAACTTATAGACGGCAAGGGAAACTACGGTAAGATATTTTTCAAAACTGTTTGGTGTTGATTTATCGGAGTATTTTGTCTTTTAAGCCAAAATAATAATGACAGCCATTAAGTAAGGAAAATAGATCAACCTTTAATTAGAGATTACTAAAGCCATTTTAAAATCTTTAAAGTGTATATTTAGTAATAGTAAACTTCAGCAAGTGTTTATTAATTCAGTTTAAACAAATTTAAGGTAATAATGAAGGTTTTAACTAAAGGTCATTCATTTCATTTACAAAATCTAATTTAATAATAACAACTTCCCACAACAGATTACTATTATTTTGTTACCAATTTTTAAGCTTCCCCAGTTGGTCTAACATTTGATTTAAAAAATGTGTTAGAAAATATTCCAATATTAAAGGATTTGTTAGAAAATTATGTAACATTCAAAAATGTGTCAGAGAAATATTCTGACTGAAAACTTTAATTGCGTTCAAAATCACTAGTACCATAATACTGGTTAAGGAATTATGGATATATACAAGTACATATTCGTTGGCAACTTGTCGTTTGAAAGTTGAATTCAGCGCCAAAATTATCAATCAGAATTCTATAAATAAAAATTTAAATTTGATAATCAAAATAATACACCAACAATTAATTGGACATACAGTTAACATTTGAATTAAACTTCATCAAACTGAACTCACATCTGTGAAATTACCTTTCGTTGGCAACTTTCGCAACAAATTATTTTTAAACACTACACTGGTCTTCAGTGGTTTTGTTGCCTTATATTATATTTGTGTCACCAGATTATGAGACTATCATATGTTTTTAAGATTTTCTTTGTTCATATTTGAATCTTTAGTTTTATTTTACTCTACAAAAATCAAAAAATATGAAACAAATATTTGTAATCTTAGTTTTGTTTTGAAAAATATATATGCATCGAAGTGGAAAACATATGCTACATTTTAATAAAGTGCCTTTGATCAACTTTTCTTTTGTAATTTTTCAGTCGCAATCCTTTCTTTATAACTAAGCAAAACATCAGCATTGGTACCTTTTTTCCGTCACTTTTCGATTTTAGTTGAACCGCTTTCCCTCTTACTTACTATAATTTCCAAAAAAATCCTAAAATTTACCCAGATTATTACGGAGATACTTGTAATTAACTTGATATACAAATTGTTTTCTTGAAATAGCTTTAATTTGTTAGTTTGTTTAATTTAATACTCACTGTTTGCCTAACAAATTTTTGACTACGGACACAAAAATTTTCCAAGCTTAATTTTCTCCCATTATCTCCCATTATTTGTCGTATTTGTGGATCACCAAATATTCCACCTTAAAATTTTTGCAAACTTTCGTAGGTCATCAATATCGGTCCAGGTGTTCGTGAGTTATAAGCTCTTTAAATAACGCAACTCTCTTTATATGTATTTATATATATATGTATTTATGGTTATATTCAGTTTTCATGTAAATTGTCTTCCTTAGACTGAAATGCCTACAACGACGGTAAATAGTTTGGAATATATGATTTGTGTAAAATCATTACTTGAATCGAGCTTATAGGCGGATATGGAAACTACGGTAAGACATATTTAACATCTATAGGCTGTGGAATTATTATTTTATCTTTTTAAGCCAAAATAATAATGACAGCCATTAAGTAGGAAAAATTGATCAACCTTTAATTACTTTGTTACCAATTTTTAAGCTACCCCAGTTGGTCTAACATTTTGATTTAAAAAATGTGTTAGAAAATATTCCAATATTAAAGGATTTGTTAGAAAATTATGTAACATTAAAAAATGTGTCATAGTAATATTCTGACTGAAAAATTTAATTGCGTTCAAACCCACTAGTACCATAATACTGGTGATATTCCGAACTCTACTCTACAAATGCACTTAAGGAATTATGGATATATACAAGTACATATTCGTTGGCAACTTGTCGTTTGAAAGTTGAATTCAACGCCAAAATGTTCAATCAAAATTCTATAAATAATAATTTGAATTTGATACTCAAAATAATACACCAACAATTAATTGGACATACCGCTAACATTTGAATTGAACTTCATCAAACTGAACTCACATCTGTGAAATTACCATTCGTTGGCAACTTTCGCAACAAATAATTTTTAAACACTACGTTTTTCTAAAACGGTTTTGATGCCTAAGGTGTAACATCGATTTTGGTTATATTATATTTGTGTCAACAGACCATGAGACTGTCATATGTTTTGTAAGATTTTCTTCGTTCATATTTGAATCTTTAGTTTTATTTTATTCTACAAAAATCAAAAAATATGAAACAAGTGTTTGTAATCTTAGCTTTGTTTTGAAAAATATATATGCATCGAAGTGAAAAACATCAGCTACATTTCAATAAAATGCCTTTGATGAACTTTTCTTTTGTAATTGTTCAGTCGCAATCCTTTTTTAAGAACTAGCAATAATCTGACATCATGTGGCGATCCCATCAGCATTGATACCTTTTTTCCGTCACTTTTCGATTTTAGTTGAACCGCTTTCCCTGTTACTTACTATAATTTCCAAAAAAATCCTAAAATTAATCTAGATTATTACGGAGATACTTGTAGTTTAACTTGATATACAAATTGTTTTCTTGAAATAACTTTAATTTTTTAGTTTGTTTAATTAAATACTCTCTGTTTTCCTAACAAATTTTTGACAACGGACACAAAAATATTCCAAGCTTAATTTTCTCCCATTATCTCCCATTATTTGTCGTATTTGAGGATCACCAAATATTCCACCTTACAATTTTTGCAAACTTTCGAAGGTCATCAATATCGGTCCAGGTGTTCGTGAGTTATAAGCTCTTTAAATAACGCAACTCTCTTTATATATATTTATATATATATATATTATATTTATTGTTATATTCAGTTTTCATGTAAATTGTCTTCCTTAGACTGAAATGCCTATAACGACGGTAAATAGTTTCGAATATATGATTTGTGTAAAATCATTACTTGGATCGAACTTATAGACGGATATGGAAACTACGGTAAGACATATTCAACATCTATAGGCTGTGGAATTATTATGTTATCTTATGAGCCAAGCTAATAATGACAGCCTGCGAGTAAGAAAATAATATCAACCTTTAATTGGGGATTACTAAAGTCATTTAAAAAATCTATAGTAATAATGGAGACCCTTAACTAGTGGTTATTAATTTTATTTCAACAGTTATAACTTTGGTATTATCTGTATCTATCGTTATTTGCCGTATTTGATTACCATTACATATTCCCTCTTTCAACTCTTCCGCCAGTGTTACTAAAAAAATATCCTTCCACGTCTCGTGCTTTAACAAATTGTTTTATCATTCTTATTTTGATCAAATATAAAATCACTGAGTTTATTTTGAAGAAAAAACTCTGCTGTTGATGTTTCACCTTCTTATTTACATCCATTGGTAGACTATACCGATATCTGGCTATTTGGCGGCATCATTGTTTGAGAGCTGTCAATGTCTACTTTTGAAACATGACTGAATTTTCATGGAGTAAATCAGAACATTTTGTAGACTGTAATTCTAAATACCTTAGCGTTTGATTTTTAATAATATCTTAACTCTTTTCTCATAATTTACTCATATTTTCGGTAAGGAGCCTAAAGATAGGGATCAGAACCATATACATGATAGTTAATAAAATATTCGATACACAATTATCATAATGTGGGCACTGTAGAGCTTTGTTATCACTTTTTGCTCGAGACTTTTTCTTGAATTTTCGTAGGTCATCGATATCGGTTCAGGTGTTCTTGACTTTTATGCCTTTCAAATAATATCACCCTGTTTATTTAAATATATGCATTTGGGTAAATATATTTAATTTTGTTGTAAATTGTCTTTCTTAGACTGAAATGCCAACAACGACGGTAAATTGTTTCGACGACATGATTTGTGTAAAAGCATTACTTGGTTTGAACTTATAGACGGCAAGGGAAACTACAGTAAGATATTTTTCAAAAATGTTTGGTGTTGAATTATGGGAGTATTTTGTCTTTCAAGCCAAAATAATAATGACAGCCATTAAGTAGGGAAAATTGACCAATCTTTAATTAGAGATTACTAAAGCCATTGTAAAATCTTTAAAGTGTATATATAGTAATGGTAAACTTCAACAAGTGTTTATTAATTCCGTTTAAAAAAAGTTAAGGTTATAATGAAGGTTTTAACTAAAGGTCCTTCATTTCATTTACAAAATCTAATTTAATAATAACAACTTCCAACAACAGATTACTATTATTTTGGTGCCAATTTTTAAGCTACCCCAGTTGGTCTAACATTTTGATTTAAAAAATATGTTAGAACATATTTTAATATTAAAAGACATGTTAGAAAATTATGTAACATTCAAAAATGTGTCAGAGTAATATTCTGACTGAAAAATTTAATTGCGTTCAAACCCACTAGTACCATAATACTGGTAATATTTCGAACTCTACTCTACAAATGCACTAAATGAGTTATGGATATACTTGTATACAAGTACATATTCGTTGGCAACTTGCCGTTTGAATGTTAAATTCATCGCCAAAATATAATATATAATAACCCAACGATTACCCTCCTCCCGCCCAACCGACGCGAGGGGCGCAATCCGCATTCGTGCGGAATTAGCCGAGTCAGAAAAGGCAAGAGAGTTTTTTAAGTGTTGAAATCTAAAACTGCTCAGCTACAGAAACAAAAATTTCAACAGCTAAGATCTAAAGTTAAAATATAATAAATTGTTACATTTTCATTTATTAAGAGGAAACAATAAATTCTTTTTAATTTTGAAAAGTGAGTCAGATAAGTCAAATGTGCTGGAATGAGAATTAAAATCATGACATATACGGCGGAATGGCTCGTTTAGTTCAAAATTTGATCTACAGGATTTTAGCAGTAAAGGTCTAAACTGCCTCGAAAGGCGAACCGGGATATTAAATTTAATTTCAGACAGGAGAAAAGAACTGCAAACAGTTCCATTCAAAAGTTTCACTAAGAATGTTATGCCAAGCATTTCCCTACGACTAGAAAGTGTAGGTAGATTAAAAAGTTTTAAACGACTAGTGTATGGAGGTAGACTTACCCTAGCATCCCATCGGAAATGCGCTAAGGCGAAAAGTAAAAATTGTTTTTGAACCGACTCTAACTTATCAGAATGGATTTGGTAGCTAGGGTTCCATACCACAGAGCCATATTCCAATATAGGTCAAACCAAAGTTGTATAAAGTGTTTTAGTAATATACGGATCTCTAATTTCTTTATACCAACATTTAACAAAACTGAGGACAGCTTTTCAAGACCATGGTATCAATATGAAGACTGAAATTATTAGGTCCATACACCCCAAATCAACATAGTTAAAACTGTTCCATAATATGTTTTATTACATAAGAAGAGGTACAGATCTAAGGAAAAGCACATCGTCTTACATTTATTGAGATTCAACAAATCATTTATATCACAATTATGCAACTAAATTGTTTAAGTCTGTTTGCAATAGACGCTTTCCTTGAAGTGTATGATTTTAAAAGCTTATCGTCAGCGTATAATAAAATTTTTGAGAGTTCATTACTGAAGAGATATCGTTAATAAACAACAAGAACAGAACAATAAGACTAATTGGTGGAACACCAGAAGAAACATTAATTGTATCTGAAGGTGTATCCTAAATATCACTGTGTTCTATTATAAAGATAGAAGATACCCATTGAAGGAATTGGCTGAAAGCCCAGCAGATCAAGTTTATATGAGAATGAGATATTATTTTATCGAAAGCTTTATAAAGTTCGTGTATATAACATCTGTATGCTTATGTTCTCTAAACCCAATGATACATGGTTTATAAATTCGCAGTTTATTATATCTGAGTTCCTTTACGAAATCCATGTTGAGAGGAAATTAATGGAGAACTGAAAGATATATGGTCAGATAATAGCTTCAAAAGTTTAGGTATAACTGATAGTTTTAAGATACTTGTTTTAAATGTTGATCTAACCACTTTTATGCAAAGGATTATAAATGACTGTTTTATATTGAAGGAATATACCGTATTTAAGAGAGGAATTAAATATCCTTACAAAGGCAAGTAAATATATTTGCAATTATTTTAGAAGTATGAGGTATCATGTCAGGCCATAACTAAAGATGGTTTTAACTACGAATTAAAAGGACGTCTTTAACTGCAATGTTTATCATATTATTGATTGGTCACGAAATGATAGATTTGTATTTACAGGATTTGACAATCCTGCGTTTGAGTTGATAAACTCATAAAATCGATTTTGGATTATTCTATAATATTTTTACTTTATTTAAGAATTATTATAACATATTTTGTTTAGGTCAAAATATTGTCATTTAATACTGAATATGAATAGTCAGACAATGAACTGGTTTTTAGCCGTTTAGTAAGTGAGTTTCAATTTATATAATCTTTAAGGAACCACGGACTTATACTTTTGCTTATTAACAATTACTATCGGTAAATACTTTAAATAATTTACAATGTTATTAATAAAGACATCAATGTCAATCATTAATATTAGGCCATGCTATAA